ATAGATAGATAGATAGATAGATAGATAGATAGATAGATAGATAGATAGATAGATAGTTATAGATAACATGATAGATGATAGATAGGTACAGATAATGATAGACAGATAGATGACAGAGAAGGGAGGGAGGGAGAGTGGGAGGAAGGAGGAAATATAGCCATTACATATTCATCATTATAAGTAACAAACCAGTTGCTCCTTGTTTATTCTGAGCTTCTGTGATGAGCTTCTATGACGACTACCATATTAGATGTGTCTGAGGCAATTGGGCCTGGAGACCCGAACCACAACCTGTTCTATACTTTTTCAGACAGAAATCTTTATCCCTTTTGTCAGGGAAGACTGGGAACTGTAGCACACTATTTTGGGAGAACTTAGGCTAGGAAAGACTTGACTGATGTACTTATCAGAATGGACATGCCCACATGATTTTTGTTTTGAGTGCTGTGGGGCAATCATACATTTAAGCATATCAAAACATGTAATCTGATGGAATAAATATATATTTTGAAAGAAAATATATAAATATTAAACACACACACAGACATATCACACACAATCTGTAAGTATACATGTTTTTATATGAAGTACACCTCTGATAATTCTGCTTGGTTTGCATAGAACAGCCTTCCTCAGTTTGGGTGCCTTCCCAATGAGCTGGATTATAACCTGTTGTCTCCAACCAGCTTGGTCATGTTGACTGAAAATGATAGCCTGTAGCCTAATAGATTTGAATGGCAACTATTTTGGGATGTGGCAAAGCAGACAGATCCAGTATACATAAATGATCTAGAAAGCAGATTGGTTTTTGGTTCCCAAAATATGAGTGATATTATTTCTCCTTTGGAAGAAGAGTTGTGTATCATTTGGAAGATCACAGAGATAATTTAACACAATATTTTAAGACAAGCACAGAATTTTTTTGGCTAGCAGGCACATTTGGAAAGTTGACGGCATGCTGCGGGGAGATTCGCATAAAAGAAATGCTACGAAGGAAGCTTGCTATTTAAAAATGGCTGCCAGTGTGGGTCTGACCATTCACAACATTACCATTTACCTAAAGGCCTACCAGCAAGGCTGTTCCTAACTGTAGCTCCCAAGATGGCCCCTACTGAATCAAGTTAGCTTTATGTTTTGTGGGAGGTATGTTGACATACTTCCAAAGGCTTGGTCTGCAGCTATCTAATGTATCTACTTTCTATGAATGTCAACGGGGTCTATGTCCCCGTTGTCCCGTTTCCAAGAGGCATTCTTGGAAATAAAGAAGATCCTAGTGGCTGATCCCTTTCTTTGCAATGTGCCATCTTCCTAGTTATTTTGTTTTCAAGGAATCTTTAGAAAAATCAGATGGGCAGGAAGACTTAAGGTAAGATGTTGCAAGTTTTCTAGGTTGTTTACCATTTCACAGATGGCTGGCAACGCATGTTAAATATGCAAGAACTAGATACAGTTCTGACACTTACCTAATACAAGAACTTTTTGATGTAAAATTCATCTCCCCCTTCTCATTCACCACCTGCATGCCACATATATGGAGTTCTATTAACCCGCCCTTAACTACATACTATTTTCTTTTTTAAAGAAATGGTGTGGATGCTGGTGAATTTTAAATACAGGGATTGCTTTATTAGTCAAAAAGCTGCAGATGTCATTCTGGAAGACAACTCAGACCCCCTTCACACTTTGACCTGATTTTGGGCAGCCTGAACAGATGACATCTTGCCTCTTCTACAGGTTCTCTTGACATCTGCCTTCATTTGCTTCTTGGCAGTTTCTCGGCCATTCTTAGACATGGTAGATCTGCTTTTTTTCTTGATTGTATCTTTGGCCTTCTGACCTTTTCCTCTCATCTTTGGTTGACTCTTTTTCTTCCCAATGTCAGGATTGACCTTGAACGAGCCTGTCGCTCCAGTCCCTTTTATTTGCCAGAGTTGCCCTTTTGCCACCATGTTCTTGATAGACCTCAGGAAATAGTGCTTCTTTCTGGCCATGTCATAGCCCATGCTTGTTACGATTTTTTTAAGAGCTTGCATGGAAAGACCAGACTTTTTCTGGCAGGTGGCAACAGCTGTATAGATCAACAAGGAAAGATTGGAAGTGGGTGGCTTGGGTGCAATGGCTCTTGATGGATTTAACTGTCTACCAGCTCTTTCAGAAGGCAGAGTCACTCTTTTTCTAGAATGATTTCTGCCACTGTGCAACAAAGGATCCAGTACAGCAGAGGACTCAGAAGAATTGTGAGTATTCTGGGAAACTGGACACTCTTCTGCCTCTTCTGATTGTGGAGTTGCAGCCACATTGTTGGAAGATGAGTCAGATGCACCTACTATGGGAGCCTCTGGAAATGTGTTTGGCTCCATCACATTTCTCAAGAAGAGATCTTCTGTTACTTCTCTGTTCCTTTCAGATCAGGGGGATATTTTAGCAGTTAGCTGTCTTACTCTGTTTGGAAGAGAAAAATGTCTTTCTCACTTCCTTCCCTCAGAGTTTTGAATCAGTTCCCACCCTCCTTCTACTGGCCTCTATTGTCCATACATGCCTGTCACTTAATGGGCACACATTTGCAGATTTCCTGGATCTGAGGACTTTTTCACTTTCACAGCTTCACTTTTTCATTCACTCACCCAATTCTTGCCTTGATACTTGAGGTTCTAGAACAAACAGATGCTTTTTCTTAAGTGTCTTTCTTCAAGTTTGATAAGCACATCTAGTATATGTATTTTTTTTAAAAATGGTCATATGTCTTAGAGTATAGAGGATCTCAAGCTGGTGGTGCTCAGCTGCAAGGCAAATAAAGCCTGCCCATCTCACAGGCACTTTTTGAGTGTTTAGGTCTAGCTGGTTGTCAAGACAACACAAGTGGGTGCTCTATGATGTCGACTTCTGTTCTATGATATCATGAGAACAGATCACAACCTTGAATACTCCTCCTTAGTTGTTGTGTTTTTCTTTCTAGGTTTTTTAAAAATAAAAAACAATCATTAAGTAAATAAGTGAGAGTGTTCCCTAGACAACATTACCACAGTGTTCAATAATTAGAGAAAAAAGTGTAATGTTTCTGAAATAGGATCAGGGTAGATTGGGAAAATGGGATGCTTAGGTCAGATTCATTTATGACTCACATCCCATCTAGTTTTATTAGAGCTTCACTTAATGCATTCATCCAAAGAAAATAAAGGGAAAAATGGTAAAAATAGTAAAAGTAAAAAGTAAATAGTAAAGGTAAATAGTAAAAATAGTAAAAGTAAATAGTAAAATAGTAAATAGTAAACAAAAAAAAAAGTAAGATCCCATTGGTCATGAAAGAGACACTTTTTAAAAATTTTATATTTACCGCAAAGATTTTTATTTTAATAAATTATCTTTCAAATGGAAAAGTCAGATTTGTTGAGATGATGCTTTGATCCTAAGTAATGGAGGAACTCCTTTTGAAGGATTTGTCTTGAATTCAGCACCTTCATTTTGGGTAAAAATGTGCACAGTCTACATGTGTGCTATTTCCAATTTGTGGTGGACAGGTTGCTGTGCGGTTTTAGTTCCATGGTGGGACACACGCTTTACCGGTCGATAATTCCACATCTATTGTTGAGTTAATTGCTATCAGGTAGCACAGCTTGAAAAGACCCGATCTGAGTTTCCGGAAAGTCACTCCTAATGAAGCTAGGTAACATTGTCCTAAATATACCCACTTTAATACAATTCCATATAGTTGTATAAAGACTTAAAATATTCATGTGGCAAAACGATTTCTAGCCCTTGTATCACCATGGATCTATTAGCATCCAGGGGTCACCAAACTCTTTATTCTTTCTAACTCAATGAAAAACAGGAAAGAAATTACATGAAGGGGCCTAGGACTCTCTCTGCCTATCTGCCCATCCCCCAGTAAGAAAAGTATTTGAAAACAACAAACAGGACCCAATCTGGCACGGTGGGGGAGGCCAATAAAAGAAAGATCAAGTTTAAAAATGGGCTGGATCAGGCAGGGAGATGAGGAAAAAACATTGCAGAAAAATATATATAATGGGAAAAAAGAATAACCTTGAGGAACAGAAGGAAGAGCCACTACCAAGACAATGGTCAGATAAAAGAAATCTGAGTCCAGGGCAGAACTGTAATCCCAGTAAGCATCTCAGATAAGACCTTCCCTAGTTCTCATGAAGATAAAGGTGGGGGAAGGGGGGAAGCACATTCAGACTTGCAAGATTCTGTTACTGTAACCTTATAATAAAACTAGTATTAGCATTCATGACATTAGTTTCCTGATCAAGTCTACCTTAAAGGGCTGACAAAAATCTACCAATGAATCCCTATGGAAGAGGCAGTGGGCAGCAGATTGACATACTCCATTCGAAGTCCCTCTGTAATCCAGCCTTTCCAGGACACACAGACACACAAACCCCACAAGAATGGACAGTAGACACCCAGACACAACACATTACTTCATTACACAGAAGAAAACACAGGTGCCTCTTATAGGCACTGCTGGTAAAGCAGGTTGGAAAGTATTTAGAAGCTACGATCTGCATGCTTTCCCTAACTTATTTTACTGTTGGTTGACTAACCTGACTGGCTATGGAATTAGCATTAAACTGCTGTTCAGTCAATTTTAAAATAACCTTGGAAGAATATATGAGTTTATCCTCATTTTATAACCAAAGCTCTCCATCTCTCTAATTTTCTACTACCTGATGCACAGAATGTGAAGGGGACCTTGGAGATCATCTAGCCAAACCATTTTCAGTGCAGGGATCCCCTGCAGCAGCCAGCCATCCACCACTGCCTGCCCCATTGCTTTGTCTCCCGCATCCCATCTCCCTCACTTCCTCCCTTTGAAAGTGAATCGTGGCCCTTGAACAGCCGATTGAAATATTTAGATGATGTTGGGCTAGATGTCTTTGGGGCCAGATAATTCCTTTCTTGTACTGCCTGATACTCCTTCCTGCCCACTAGCTGTCCTCATAAGGAACCAGAGATGATTGGGGAAGACAGGTGGGGGAAGCCAACATGTCTCCTTGGTTCAGAAAGGCCCATCTGCCCTGTCTCCTCCTCTCAAAAGCAAAAGGAGACATCTCAGTTTTGGGTTTCAGTTATGGCTTCCATCACCCTGGAGGGAAAATGGCCTCCAGAACAAGCTGGCTGGCCTTCTTTTGCTTTTGAAAGAAGGAAGGGAAAAGAAGAACATTTCCAGATCAGCTGATCCATCAGTTCAGAGAGTTGCATTGCTAGAGCTGTCACTGCTGCTTTGCAGCAATAGACTGTGTTGGCACAACTTGCTTTGTTAAGAATTATGAAAGACCAATCTTGCTAAACTTGATTAGCTTTAATTTTGACTTGGATTTTGTGGCTTAATGTATTGTGCAAACCAAGCCTGTTTCTTTATCGTCCAGTGTATTATGTAAACCAGTGTTGTCCAAACTTGGCCCCTTTAAGATGAGTGGACTTCAACTCATGGCTGGCTGGGGGATTTTGGGGGTTTGAGTCCACTCATCTTTAAGTGGCCAAGCTTGGACAAAACTGATGTAAACAGAGAAAATGGGTTAATTCAGTAACCAAGTTCAAACTTGGCCAGTGAAATGTGTGCTTTGGAATATGGGTTTGGGGGCTGTGGCAAGCTCTGAGTTATCGGAAGAGGAGTAGACAGCCTTCTCTAGTTAGGCTGCACTTGCCATCCCGTTGGAAAGTGAGGGGGAGATTTCCCTATACCACTGCCCTGCTCATCTTCATCCCGTTGTGCCGAAAAGTGTCCTGGCTTCATTTGCTTTAGCTGATATGATTCATTCTTCATTACTTATTGCAGCTCAGAAATGGGACGATAGATACAAATGCCTGTACAAAATGTAATAAGAACAGATAATTGCATGAACTGTACAACAAAGCAATCCTCCTACATTTTCTTGTTTCCTAATTATTTCTAACAACTGACAGTCTGCTGCTGGTTAGAATGTTCCAGCAAAATCAACAGGCAGATTTTCAAAAGTAGAGGGAAGAAAGGTTCCCAAAGGATGATTATGGCAATGTCTAATAGGATCAAAAATGGGACTTCTTAAAATTATATTGATCACAATTTCTACTTCCATCCACAAGGACAAATCCTATTATTTTTTAAGCAGATTGATGATGACCTTTCAAGACAGGAGGGGGAAATCCTCTATGATTAATTATTATAGGTTGTGGAGTGTATGGTGAGATAAAAAGTCAAACTGATAAATAAATAAATACTTATTAAGTAATTTGCTTTTCCTAAAAAATAGTTCTGTTCCATTTTTTCTTCTTCTGCAGCATCCAGATGGTGCATCATCACACAATCCATGACAACACAGAGGAACTGAGGCAGATGGCTGGTACTCGGGATGCGCCCCGTCCCCTCTCCACTTTGCCCATGTTCAATGTCCGTACGGGTGAGAGAACGAATCCCATGCAAAGTAAGCACTATGACAGTGCCCAGGTGCCTCTCATCTTGGCTCAACAGTGAATAAGTGATTAGGTTGGTACCTTCCCTATGAATCTTCCTGTCCATGGCTCTGGTCATTTGAGATAACACAGGGGTGCACCTGTCCGTGAGGCTCTTAGGCTGAGAATCCAGACAGCCGGAACCCTTTGTGTAGCCTCTGTGTGGCAATTCTATTGCTCTCCCTGTCCCCTAAATGAAACGAGGAATCCTGATATTATCAAATCCCATTTTAAACTACTTTTTTTTTCTTCTGACAGGTCAGACTGTGCCCATTTTTACTGAGAAGAGTTTTTCCACCAAAGATGTTTCTCAAGATTGAGTCAACTTTTGACAAAGCTTGGTGTGATAGTTTTGCCTTTTTTGCAGTTTTTTATGTTGATAACGGTGAAGCTTGGAAATGAAGGATGTGTGTTTATTCAGTAATTCTTGGTATAAGTTTGTAGGGTGGGTTTTGAGCACTTTTGTTGCTACATATTCAAGGGATGGGAGATTCAAGCTAATACAGTAATACTGTGTGTTAGAGATGCCTAGCCTTGCCACAGAACTATATTTTCCAAACGTCTTTGCCAAAAGCTATCACAGTTAACATGTGTTAGATATTATAGAATAAATAATTTCCCTCCCTCTTCCTCTTGTAACTTGGCATGATAAATGATCAACTCTTCTTCCTGTATTTTGTTTTTCTCAGTGAATAAACTGGCAAAACCTAGATTGTTTTATAAACAATACTTACATGCACACATACAGACATACCCATCACATTATTCCCTTTCAGGGTAAACAACTTTGTACAAAATACAGAAGAGAAGCAAGAAATAGCTCTCACACACACATACACACAAAGACATGAGACAAGAAAATAAGTGGAAATATAGCTAAATTTAGTGTGTAGCTCTCTTTTTCTTTCTATGCTTGGAAACTTTGCAAATTGGAAGCCACTTTGAGATCTTTTACTTGGAATTAGTATAGAAATGTTTTAAATAAATAAATGCACGCACACATATCATCCTTATTTCCACCATGACATCACACTGATTCATGTACTTTTGTTCTTGAAACTTCTCTCCATTCTCTTTTCAAGAGTCTAATCAAGTCCTACCTGGTTGCTTTTTCTAACTCTTCTACTGCCCTTCAGCCCATTCGCTCATTTGTTTTGCAAGTTGATCCTGATTCATTCTCTCTACATAAGTAAACCACCCCAACATATTTTTTTCATACTTACTCATTTTTATATGCAATTCACGATTGTTCATCATCCACTCATCCTTGACTCTCTCTCTCTTTGTTTTACAGCAGGTATTTCTTAAGTAACCCATTCCCACTGCATTCAGCTTGCTTTTGTGTTTCTCCTGACATACCCAAATCTGTCTTCTATAGAACAAAGTGAGCAGAAGCATGCTCTCTTACACACAGTCCTCTTCACTTCTTTCAACAAATATTGTTACTATATACTACCCACTCCTTTCTATGAGCATTTGCATATTTGGGAGATATACTGAAATATTATTTCACCTGATGGGGAAAATACTGTACAGAGGTCTGCAAAAGTTTGCTCTGTTTGCCTAAGCAGGAAATAGAGTAGTCAAGATAACAGCTGCACTTCAGTGTTCACAACTCAGCACAGTGTGCATGTGTTCCCTTGGCTCATTTCAGAGCTGTGTATATACAGTAGCTGTTTTATTCATGCTTACGGGCTAATGTCAAGGACATCACTGGAACAACTTGCCATTGAATGTTCAGAACGGTTGTCATTTTACCAATGCAAAAGTGAATATACAGTATGTTGTCTATTATATTTTATGCAGGATGTTTGAGCACCCACTGATAAATGCTATAAACATATATGTGACCCTTTAAAAATAGGAAATAGTGCAGCAAGTTGCAATCTCAAGAGTACTTTCTCATATTTGTTTTTTTTTTAAGAATAACAATCAAAGGAAGGAGCATTATCTATTTGACAGCATGTAGCAAAATTGTTGGGATGTTGAAAGGACAGGAGCACTCTAGTCTGAGCTGGAGGATCCGGGCTCCACCTCTCCTGTTTGATGTTTGTAGGGTGATGCAGTTACTGAAGGAGGATTGGTGGGGAGAGCCACCATCACTGTGAGGGGTGGGGTGGGAGCACAGCTTCTGTTTCTCCCCCCACATTGGATTGCAGGCCAGAGAGCGGTTTGCTCAGTGCTACTAGAGGAAAAACATCTGCTGATGTCATGGCGAAGGAGGCCAGACCAGAGGGCCTGTGGCTGGCTAGGCATAAAAACATTACTGTAGAAGGAGAACTTTGAAACCCCATTTGAGCTGCTGATTTGAGTGTTCTTCTTATCCAACTGTTCAGTGGGAAGTGGGAGACAAAACAGAATGGCTATATGGGTGGATGTGATATTCCAGTAACAATTAGCAGTCGTATTTATATCATTGTTAAGTGCTGTCCATTTCCTCATCCAGGAAGAAGTCTGATGTCTGGCATGATTTGGACTTAATTCCCCTTGGGAAGAAAGCAGTGGATTCTTAATCCATTTTGTGTGTGCGTGTGCGCGTGTGTGTGGTGTGTGTACACACAGTATATAAATATACAAAACAGTATAAAAATCCAATTTTATTTATATAAATATTACTAGCGGCCCTCCTAATATATATCCAGGAGCATATCCATACATATTTCTGCCTAGCTCTTCTAATGTCTATGCATTACTTGAGAGTAGCTTACACACCTTGCCTTCTCGTATGTACTGCACGTATGATGAGACAAATCGTATAAGCCACTCTCAGTAATGCATATGCATTAGAAGGGCTGGATAGAAATATTTGTATAAATAATATTAAGGGACAGTTACTTCATTATCATCATAACCATCATCCTGCCTTTTCTCCAGAAGCTCAAAGTACCAAAGAAAGCACTCCTTCCTCCAGATTTTCCTCACAACCACAATTCTGTGGAATGGATTAGCTAAGAGATCATAACTGGTCCACTGTCACCCACTGAGGTGGTATGACCAAAGGGGCAGTCTTTTTTATTTTATTTTATTTATTTTATTTTATTTTTATTTTTAGGCAGCCCAATTCCCAAATGATTCTGGGTTGCTTACAACTAGGACACCCTCCCCCTGCCCCAAATATATAAACACATATAAAAATTACAGCTGACTAGAAGAGCAATGTATTCAAAACAAGACCAAAGCAAAACAAGCAAAAGGCTCTACAATCACTGTGTCTCCAAGGCCTGGGAGAACAACCAGATCTTCAATACGTTCCTGAATGATATGAGGGTAGGAGCCACACAAACTTCTGAGGGGAGATCATTCCAAAGGGCAGGAATTGCACACCTCCTGGATCCCGCAAGATGACATTGCTTAATTGACAGGCTCCAGACTGCACCCACCCTGCTCCACCAAACCAGATGGGCAGAGACAACTTGAGATAGGCGATCCTTCAGATAAATTTCAACTCAGAGTCTCCGAGTTCTCAACACCTGAACCCAGTGTTTCTCAACCTCAGCAGGTTTAAGATGTGTGGACTTCAACTCCCAGAATTCCCCATCCAGTGATGCTGGCTGGGGAATTCTGGGAGTCAAAGTCCACACATTTTAAACCTGCTGAGGTTGAGAAACACTGTCTTAACCACTACACCACACCAATAGACAGCATATTTTTTGCTCCCAAAGACTCATTTTCTGTCCAGGCATGGCAGTCTCCTCCTTACATACCTCCACCCTTCCATTTCCACCTTTCTCAAGGCGGAATGGTCAGTGGTCGTCTTGGGAAGAAATGAGCCGATGACCACAGCGGAATGAAGAGTTGGCGAGTAGACCAGCTCTTCGTAATTCCTCTGTGGACAAGGAGAGGACTTGAGATTGCCCACAAGTGCTCCAGACAGTTGCTCCTCATGAGCAGACTGCAAGACAACAGTATATGGCAGGTTTAGAGCTCTGGGAGATGAGGGAATAGCCATCTTTTTGCTCAAACCGTGGTTGGCATCTTTGAAGGACACTGGATTTGCATCCTTCCTTTTCTAATCACTTTCAGAAATTGCTTGTTAACTGCTTTTCAGCTGCTAGGAACCTTTGCATCGACAAGTTTTACAGCACCGGGTAAGTTCCTTCAATCCTTAGCAAAAGAAGTTTAAATACAAGTTTAATATAATATTTATATTATATTAAAAGAAACATCATATATATTTCTTTTATTTTCTTTACTATAGTCATCTTTCTCCTTTCTTCTTTTATTTTTCTTTCTATTTTTTCTTTTCTGCACTATTTCTTCCTTTTATTCTTTTATTTTTTTTAGTTTGCATTCATTTTTATCTTTTTAGTTGTACTTTTTAATAAAATTACTATACAAAAAAGAGACATAAAGGAGAAATTCTGAGCAGGCAACCCATGTAAAAAAGAGGTTGGGTTTTGATTGCTTTTGCCATGGCCACCATCCTGACTTTTTTGATACCCCCCCTCAGGCAGATAGTCTGGCTGAGGAGACTGATAGCAAAAGAAATTCAGAGAAATGGGAGACATTCAGCAGCAATAGCCATCATCCATGTTTTTGGGCTCTCTGATGCCGCTGCGTGCCATTCACAGATTAACAAAGCAGAAAGAGATGCTATTCAGCATCTCGCTCTCCTTTGGCTTCATGAACTCAAGGAGGGTTGGCAACATGATACACTAATTACTAAATCCAGAAATATTTCCTATCCTTTTGATGATCTGTGGGCAAAAAAATTAAAAGAAAATTGTTGGTCCTCAGTATAAGGAAATACAAATGCATCTGTTACACACGGTCAGCAAGTGCAGTGAACTTCTCTAAAGCGCAACCCCGCAACTTTTCCATTCCGAATAAGATTCCTTTTTTAGTTGTTTGGTTTTTTAAACCTTATTCTCATGGAGATTTTCTGTAGAACTGCTCTGATGGTCATTGTTCAGTCCCCGCCATTCCTGTGTGTAGCCTGGGGAGTAGGCTCATTCTTTGATCTGCCCTCTCCCACTACCTTTCTTTTCAGCTCATTCATATTAGTGACAGAGCCTCCACAGTCTGTATCTGGTATTTAGTCGTCATAATCGCATCCACCCTCTTGAGGAGTTTTTGTCCTTTCTCTCTGCGGCTCATGCTGTGACTCAGCTTTGCTCAGTTCCCAGGCAAGTTTTTGCAAGGTTTTGTGTCCACTATATATGTTTCTGTTCCCTGATTGCTCTTTGGACACCCTGGCCCAAGCTGTATATCTAACCTCAGTTAAAATGAGGTTCATTTTGTTGGGAGTCCAAATTCAATGAGCTGATTGTTCAGCACCATATAACTTATTGACCACGAGGGGGCAATAGATTTAGATAGAAAGACTGATTCTGTGTCCTTTCTTTGTCTGTCCTTCTGCCCACTATTTCTCTAAGACAGAGTTTCCCAAACTTTCTCAGTTCTCAGCACCCTTAGTCGATCAAATCTTTATTATGGTCAAAGACTAGCATAAGAAGGGTTGGGTACAGTCAATTTAAAAAGCACAGAAAATATATCAGGAAAATAATAATAAAAAGCTAGAAGATATAAAATAGAAAGTTATGTATCTAAACAGGATCTAAAGGAAAAATTATGAAAACATAGAAGAGAGAAAAATATACGTATTAAAACAAAAAGTGTATATAAAAAACAAGAGTCTAAAAGAATCTAAAAGGAGGGGTAGGAGCATTAGATGGGTGTAGTGGGGCATAAAGGTTAGTATGTGGCAGACTA